TTTGTTGGTTTTTTTTTGTTTGTTGGTTTGTTTGTTTGTTTTTTAAAGATCCTTTCTGGGGAAGCTAAGTGGTGCAGTGGATAGAGCACTGTCCCTGGAATCAGGAGGACCCGAGTTCAAATACGGCCTCAGACACATAACACTTATTAGCTGTGTGACTCTGGGCAAATCACTTAACACCAATTGCCTTGCGCGCCCCCCCCCCCCCAAAAAAAAAATCCTTTAAGTTTTTTGCTTATGACAGAGGTGTCCAAAATATGATGGCCGCAAGATCATGATCTCCTGAAGTTTAAAAGCCTGGCACCCACATTTCTGTAGTCTTCACCTCCCAAAATCTATCCCTTCCATTTCCTCATTCCCTTACATGATCCTGACACTTTTTCAGTTAATCCGTTTTCCAAATAAATGTCTTTTAGCTTCAATTAAACCATCTGTTTCCCATAGCCTCCATTCAATCAATACCTCTTTCCTTCAGCGCACTTCCCCTACTGCTCAGTCTCTTTTCTGAACTTACCTGTATTTATTAGAAACTGACATTCATTTGAATAATTAATTGCCTAAGTCCTTTTCTTTTTTTCAAGGCACTTGGATTAAAAATACCATTGAACCACAATCATCCACAACCTTTCAGGACTTTATACCAAAAAATATAAAGAATCAATCAACCACTCAAGTGCATGTTAACGGTTTACTAATGTCTCTGTAAATATTAAATCATATAAGTATAATTCTACCATTATTATATAAATAGCATGCCAAATATGTATATTCAGTAAAGTCATTGAGTTTTTAATGCATAGGGACAACTAAGAACATTTCATGTTCAGGATTGTCTAGTCCAGTAGAATGGGATGTATCCCCATCAGTAGTCTAGAGGATGTTGTTACACCGGTCTGTTCTATCTGATGGAATTCACTTCAGTCAAATACTGTTTTCATTGCTTCTGTATTAAGATCCTGGATCTTTTTTCTGGTATATACACTACCCTGCCTGGCAGTCTACATTCTTAGAAGAACAGCTCTGCATTTGTCATGACTGAACTTAATCCTGTTTATTTCTGATTATTATAAAAATCTCATATTGGTACTTTTTTAATAGTATTTTATCTTTTCCCCAATTACATATAAAAACAATTTTGGCATTCTTTTTTTTTTTTAATTTTGAATTCCAAATTTTCTCCCTCTCTCCTGTCCCTCTTCCTGCCCTGAGATGCTAAGCATTTTCACATAGGTTATACACGTTCAAATATGCAAAACATATTACCATATTAGGCCTATTTTAAAAGACATAGACCCAAAGGGGGGGGGAACATGAAAAAAAAATAAAGTGAAAAATAGTATGCTTTGATCTGCATTCAGACTCCATTATTTCTTTCTCTGGAGGTGGATAACATTTTTTAGAATTGTCTTAGATTATTGGTCATTTGTTTTTTTTTTTTTTTAAACATCTCCTAGTGAATGCCCTTCCCTTTCCAGATGTAAGGTTAAGGAAAATACATCAATACATTGGCCATTTCTGGAAAATGGATTCCTCACCTATAACCTATCCACCTTTCTGTCAAGAGTCTGGAAGCATAGTGGTTCATCAGTCCTTTCCAGTTAATTGAAGCATTGATCAGGTTTCTGAGGTTTTCATTATGTACTTTCTTCCTATTTCTGTTGCCTTCACTCACTATTCATTATTAGTTCATACTGTTTTCCCAAATTTCTCTGAATTCATCATATTCATTATTTCTTATGGCATAATACCCCTTAAATTCATATACAGTTTCTTGAGCTATTCCCCCAAAAATGGACATCTCCCTTCCTTCAAGTCTTTCCTATGATAGAAAATGCTTCTGTATTTTTGCATCTGTTTTTGCCTCTTTGTGAACTGCATACGACATATGAATGACAGTGGTATCACTAGATCAAAAACTCCATACAGAGTAATGGCTTTTTAAAAATATTTTCAAATTGCTTGCAACTATTGATCATTTTACAACTTTACCAACAATGTGTGCTTTTCTTCCCATAATCTGCTTCAACATTTACCATTTTTGTCTTTGCTAATCCATTGTTGAATTTTTACATTTCTTTTGAAAACTGCCTGTTGCTATCCTTTGACCAGTTCTGTAGAATGCCTTTTCTTATATATCTGCATCAGTTCCCTATATATCTTAGTAGCTGACCTTTATCAAATTTTTACTGTTAATTTCTTAATTAACTTTTCTTATTCTAATTGTATTGATTTTGTTCTTGCTTTTACATTTGTAGTCAAAACTGCTTGTTCTTTTATGATCACCTCTAACCATTTTTTACAGTGATTATCTTTAAATTTTGAATTTTATTCTGTAAAACTGAATTTTGTATACCAAGAAAACTAAAAGCAGTATACATCAAAATATTGCCAGGTTTCTTAAATAATATTGAGCTGAAAACCAATCCCCCTAAATGTACCACCTAACATTCTCGGCAACAATTTCAGCATGGCTTTCTTTACAGTTAATCAGTCATTGGTAGTACAGATTCTTATGCTAAAACATATATAAAGAAAATTACTCTGGTACTTAAAATCTAATCCCATGTTTATTATCTCCTTATGCATATAGTAGGATGAGGATGACATAATGCTATGAGAAATCTCAAAAGGATCATTTTCACCTGATGGGTGGTTTGTTTTTGGGGGATGGGAGTTGGTGGCATGGAGAGGTAAGGAAGAGGTAATCAGGATCTGTTTTCTTGGAGGAGAGGGTAACTTGGAAAAATGGAAAGTATGTTCAGAGATAGGGAAGGGGAAAAGTCCATTCTGCATGAGACAAGACTCCAAGGTGTGTAAACATGTAATGGGAAGGAATCTGAAAGGTACTTCTCTCTCAACATCTCTCCCTTCAGCTCACCCAAAGCAGTTACTTACACATGATCCTTTTGTGGAAAACTGACTTTGCGTCATGTGTACTAGTCATTCAAAATGACATTTCCAACAAATTCTCTCCCCTTCCCTCCATCCCCCAAAATACCTATTTTATTTTACACTAGTATATACTTTTTACAATGGTTCAGTGTAGGGGTTCAGGTAGGGGGGCCATATGTGGTCCTCTAGGTCCTCAACTGCGGCCCTTTGTCAGACAAATTGTTCTGTGAAGTGTAGCTTTAAGGCCACAGGTTCCCCACCCCTGGTTCAGTGTATCCTTTGGTGTGATTTTTCCTTTATTTTGGGGCAAAAACTCTTCCCTGAAAAAAATAGTCAGTAAAAAGTTATAAAAAAAAATGTTAATATAATCATAAGCATTAAAAAACTCTTCAGCTCCCATAATTTTGTTTCTATAAAACAATCTAGACATTTTCCAAATTTTGGATCATTATGTTTTGCAAGTGTTTAGTTTGGGAAAGCTGTCTTAGGATCTTGGAATTCTGACCCTCTGTTCATGAATATGGAATTCAGCCTCAGTTTCCAGTCTTGTAAAATGTGGATTATAACATACTTACAAGGTTCTGTGAAAATCAAAAGGGATATCTATATAATGCTTTGCAAACCTAAAAGTACTCTGTAAGTTTTGAACCCCCAGGAATGGAGATGTAAGTGCCCATTAACTGTACAGGAATAAATGGGATCTAATCCTTATTTATAATTAAAACTGAGTCCAGGAAAGGATCAAAGATCTTAACAAAAAAAGGATTTCCTCCAGATCTTTTGGGTTATTTTATTACTGAAAACAGTACCTAGGATTTCAATTGGAAAGAAATTTAGCAGTTATCTATTTCAATCCTCCTCCCCTACCCCTTCATTTTACAGATGAAGGCTGTAAGGATGTAAAGCATAAGAGGTAAAATGACCTGCCCAAAGTAGTAACAATAACAGAATGAGGATTGGAAGCCAGGTCCTCTGACACCCCATGCTGCAAGACTGTTTTTCACACTGTCTCCCATAGTGTAAATCATTTGAACTATTCAGATTTGTGTTCTTTCCGAAAATAACACGTATCATAGTTTTGTTATTATAGTTCTAAGTCTGTGTTCGCAGATATTTTAAGTGATAAATTCTCAAATGTTATTCTGATTCTTTCAACAAGGATCTTATGTCACAATAATGTAAAATCTTTCAGAAGCCAAGTACTGGAAAGTGATGGAGATTCACTTTGGGACGTAGAGTCAAGTCCAGGAAATTCTCCCAGGGACCTGAATCATTTAAAAAGTCTGTGAAAGCAAGCCAGGAAGATACTGAGGATACAGAACTAGCAAAGGGAGGCTTCATTAAGGTGCAGCAGGCAGCTTCTATAGGACTGTGATGCAAATATTTATTCTGTTACAGTATAAGAATGATGTTTAACCATGATAAGTACCCATAAATAATTAGTACAATTTTCCTTGTGTTTTAATATCATGAAATTGTGTTATCTTGCATTCTAAACTTAAGAGGTCACATTTTGATTTCTTGTTTAAAACTAAAGTATAACCATCTTGTTTGAGACATTGTACTGTCACTTTTCTCCTACACTAATAATAACATAAAAGAAAATTACAACTTCTTTGAATGAAGAGCACTTTTCCCTAATGCCTGGTTGGGATATATAAAGATTAAGTATTATTGTTACTAAGTCGCTAAAGAACAAAACTTATTCAACTTTTTTTTTTCAGTTTCAAAAAAGATTTTAAAACAAAGTAATGATAAGTTCAAAATGAAAATTCATTGGCAACCCTTTTGAATGAGGATTCCCTTTTTAACATCAAAATAGATCATAACTACCTCCACACTGGTAGTTGCATTATTAGAGCTTTTCACTGAGAAAAAATGACAAGAAGCCAGTATGAATCCAGTAGTACTTTGAAATGAATTTGTATTTTTATTAAGTCCAACAGCATCTACCTTTGTTTCAAAAAGAATAAAGCATATATGTGTATTAGTCTCCAAAAGAAGGTATATTTGCTTGTCTGTGAAATCCCATATTGAATTCTATTAGTGTCACAGCCTAATGATTGCCAACTGTCTATTCTAATAGTAACTTTTTTCCTCTCTATAAGGTAAAAAGAAGCCTCACTCGAAAAGGGAGGAAATGACGGCCAAATAAGGACAGGCTCAACCTTCTTCAAAAACTAGAATTCAAAATGTACATGTACAGAAACTGAGATTACTTCAAAACACCCAATTTCTGCCTTGAAAACTGAAAAACTATTACTTCCCTTTCATATGACACCAGTCCTTGAATGGAAATGTAAAGCAGAAACTCTTGAGAGAGGCTAAAAGCAACTGTACTTATTTTCCCCTGAGACTTTTTTTATGAGAAGTCAATAATTAAGCAAATTGCTTAACACTTGGTTCCAGTTCCTGCATATCTGGAGTTTAAAGTGCATCACACCGTTCTTTTCCATGCTGCATCTTTTTTTTTTTAAAGAAAGTCACAGGATGTCCTTACACTGACACAGAAAATTCATAATTCTAGAGCCAGGAATGCCCATGTTACACAAGAGAAATAGAAGCCTACTGAATTAATTTTAAGGAGAAAAAGAGATTGGAACAAGTACTTCTTGGCTTTTCCTTTTGAAGACTTTTATGTATAATTCTTTCCGCCTGCCTACTTTTCTGCAAAAATAAGATGTACAGATTTCATTTCCCTGCTATGAAAAGTCATGTGGTGGCAATTTTATAAATGTTGCTTTCTGATTTTTATCAGAGTGAAAAAATAATTAAAATTATTGGTTTGCAAGTAAACATTTCATTTTTTAATTTTCCCCCACTTTAGTTTAATATAATTTGCAATAAATGTACATATTGTTGTTTGTTTTATAAAGCATATCACTTTAAAAGTTTTTTATTCCAGTGGCTATTATGTTGGAATATTGGAAATTTTAAAGGAGTAAAGGCAGTTCAGGATTTGGTTTTGTAATGTGCATCACCAGATTTTTATTATTGATGTAAAAAAGTCAATTTTTAAAAATAGATGGACTTTGGCAGCTTCATAAGGAAAATTGGAAATGTTTAGAATTGCACTCAGTTTTAAGCATTGCGATAAATGAAAGAATGTCTGTTTTGCATTTTGTTTCCCAGTATGAACTCATTTTTTTTTTAAATTTTAGAAGACTGTTGCACCAATATTATGTTTCCTGGCATTGTTCAGCAAGGGTAAAAGTGTACACTTTATGTACACATGATCATATTTAAGTTGGTTGCATAAAATAAATGCTTCTAGGTGTCATAATAGTCCTTGCTTAATCTGTCAGTATGTTTTCTCGTCTTAAATGGAGTTTTCTTATGTGCAGAGGCTAAATGGATTCAGAATTGGATGGCATAATTACAGTCAACTCTCTGTTATCCGTGGTAATGGAGGGTAAGAGTGGTGAATTCAAGAAGTACTTCTTTGATTCAACGCAGTGATGTGTCTGACCTGGAAATGCATGAAAAAAAAAAAAAGCAAGCAAGCAAGCATCCTCTCAAGATCCAAGGAACTTCCGTATACAACTTCCCCTGCACAGAATTCTCCTGTTTCTTACTAGAGGTTCATTTCCTTAGCAGTCAGTAAACAATTATTAAACGCCTACTACGTGCCAGGAGTTGTAGTAATATCAGCTTAGCACGAGCCTCAACTTTGAACTGGACTTGCACCATGTGCCTATACTTGGTTAGGGGCAGTAATTAAAGTAAACAAGTGATAATGAATTGTTTCAACAAAGAATTACCACCTGCTTTGCTCAATCATGTTAACAAAAATTTGAAAGCAAGTTTTTATGTTAGGCAAGTATCTACCAAGAGCACCTCTCAGGGTAATCCAGAGTTGGCTGTATATTAATGTATATGGAAGGTATAAATAATTCAGTTGTTTATAAAATGGAGAAATACTAATAATAGAAAAAAATGATTCTGGGAGAATGTAAGATTGGCCCTACCACTTTTTACTGCCTTCTCTTTTATTGCCTTGTAATACAAATCAGAAATGAAGCTCAGACTTGGTCCCTAGACCCCATGGGGCAGGAGGAAAGAACAATAACTATGCAGAAGTACATGACAGTGACTTTAGGCAACCCATGAAAATGAAACTCCCTAGTCAGGGAGTTTTTCAGGTTCTCTTAGTTTTAGACAAGTTAACTAATTTCAGCACCCTCCAGCCCTTAAGGAGAGGAGGACGAGAACCTTTTTTTCCCTGGAACTCAACCCTTGCTATTGAAGACGAAAAAGCAACTGATAACAGGGAACCATGTCAAATATAGGGGGGAAATTGCCTCATCGATTTAAAGCAATTTGAATTCTTGCAGGGGGAAAAAGGTGAGCAGAGAACTCTATATAAATTATAGATTGAGTGGAAAGAACTGGCAGGACTGTGCACCTGATTTAATTAAGGCATCCAAATGTTTAGCACAAAGGGAAGTAAATAAGAATAGGAAAATGAGAGATTGGAAAAAGAGTAAGCTCTTTTGAATGCGAAAATACCTATCTGAACACAAATTTGGTTTCCTTTTAAACAATTCCTCTTAAACTGTTATTCACATCTCAAAGTTAAACAAAATGAAGAAATCCAGATTTGCAGTTAAGAGCTAATGTTAACCCTTTGTGTCTAGTTAAAGGATTCTTGTAATTTGTCTAATAATACAGCCAGAATTTTATACTCTTTGATACAAAGCGTGTATAGTAGTTTTACATATTCTTGTGCTGCACATGGGTTGGATTTTTAGAATTTTCTTTTTAAGAATGAAGCAGAACATTGTAATTTGTGTAAATGAAGAGTGTAATATCTACCATGAAACACTAAAACATGGATTGTTTCAAATAAAACCAAGAAATGCAGCATTATGTTGTAGTAGTGTTGACCCCTAACTGTTCCTGTATCTCTCACAAATGTTAAGAGGTAAGAAAATGTTTCAATCTATGCCACCATCAAACAGTATCCTTGAGTCCTTCAGTCAACTCTGTAAGCTAAGGGAAGCCTGAGGATGATTAGGATACATTGTTGTAAGGAAAGTGCTTTACAAATCTATACTGATGGGAGCTGCTATTATATGTAACCTGTCAGCATTCATGTAGTTTTCCTATTGATAGAAACAAATTCATATGAATAATTACTCAGAAGGCAGAGAGATCTCTTAAGAAATCCAGGAGAATGTGAGATTTGTCAGCCATAGCTACTCAATGTGGATAGTCAGCATTCACAATAGTTCTTTCAGAACCACTATGTGTATAAATTGCATTTTTCCCCAGCAGTCACTTTGTGACCACAAGCTACATGGATACGCTTGGATAGCAGGTCAACATTGATTCACCACCTGCAAGGAAAGGTAACAGCTAATTAAGACCAATGTAAATCTATGTTTATGTTCATCTTTAGTGCCCAGCCAGTGTTTGGAATACGGATTTTTCACTCCCTATTTTGTTACAGGTGATTTGAGAAGATTTGAATAATACCACAGGATCAAATATAAAAAAAATTGGAACCCTGTGATCTATCTCATCTAAGGTTTTTATCTGCTTTTTAAAAATCACCAGTGATTATTAAGCTAACAAATTCTACTTAATAGTTATTTTTCAGTAGCAGAACCTCAAAGGTCATTCTGAAGAAAAAATGACTCCTTTCCCAAGGATTAAAAGCTATCGGTCCCCTTTTACTCCTTGCAGGCAATTGGAGAGAGCATAAAATGCCCTCAGAAGTCAAAAGGACTACACATGCATTCAGGGACAATGGGGTGTAAGGATCTGAGGCAAACTTGTCTTAGTGCAAGTTTACAGTCACATCTTCATAACTTTTTATTTTATTTTTTATTTATTACAGTCAAATCTAATTATATTTGATATATATAGTTATAATATAACTATATAATATAATATATATATAGTTATAATCACCTACAGAAAGGCACAGGGAGATGATAGAGGGGAGGGCAGATTGGGGGAGGGGGTAATCAGAAGCAAACACTTCTAAGGAGGGACCGCTTCAAAGGAGAGAATAGAATGGGGGGTGGGATAGGATGAAGGGAAATATAGTTTTTCACAACATGACCACTATAGAAGTGTTTTACATAACCTTTACAATACCTGTTATACAATGTACAATACCTGTATAACCTTTATGGAATTGCTTGCCTTTTCAATGAGGTGGGGAGGGAGGAAGGGAGAAAATTTGGAACCCAAAGTTTTAACGTGTTTAAAAAAAAACTTTTCACATGCAAATGGGAAATAAATACAGGAAATGGGATATAGAAATCTATCCTGCCCTACAGGAAAATAGAAGTGGAAGGGGATAAGAGAAGGGGGGGAGAGACAGAAGTGAGGACAGATTAGGGGAAGGAGTATTCAGAATGTATGCCATCTTGGGTGGGGGAAGGAGATGATGGGGAGAAAATTTTGAACTCAAAATCTTGTGTAAGTGAATGTTGAAAACTAAAATAAATTTTTAATATTATTATAAGGCCTCATGTAAGAGTGACATTAAAGTTGTGCTTTAAAGGAATTTAGGGATTATGAGTTAGAAGTGTAGCATGTTCCAGAAATGGGGTAACATTTGTGCAAAGATACACATATGGAAGATGGCCAAGTGTGGGGGCAGTTTGACCGGACTGTGTGAGGACTATTGTGACATAAAACTCAAATGTCATATGGAAATCATGAGGATTTTGTAAGCTAGAGGCAAGTGGAATGCAAAGGAGATCCTAATATCAAATGTACAGGAGCACTAATGTTGAATTGGCTGGGGTTCCTCTAGGTTCCTCCTGCTAAATCACATCAGAGACCCAGGACACACTAATTAGCAAGTAGCTAAGCTACTACTAGAAACAAGGTCCCACTATAACATAAAGAAATTAGGATGAAATCAGTTTATGGAAGGCTTTTAATAGTTTAATGGTTTTAATTTGATTGCTTTAATTGATATTCTAATTATTGAGCATCAATTTAATCAAAACTAATAATTTGTGAGCAGGAAACATGAAGAGAGTAATATGTTAGGAAGATTAATCCAGCAGTGTGTAAGATTTTACAGTTGAGGAAACTGACAAACTCAATGATTTCAATGATTGTCCACACAGCTGCCTAGTTAAGTATCTGAGGCTGAATTTGAATTCAGGTCTTCCTGTCTCCAAGCCCAGGACTCTATCCACTGTGCTATCTAGTTGCCCTTTGGGGGAAGGAGGATTTCTCTGGTGGGGTCCACAGTGGTCCATCTTTGGCCCATTCAACATTTTTAGCCACTTATATACAAAGCACTAGATAACATGATTATCTACTTTACAGATGAATGACTTCACAAAGATGGAAGAGGGCAGGAAATCAAAAGAAGCAAAGGAGGAACAAGACATTTCCCAAAAAGTTTAAAAGAAAAAACAAATGCACTCCAACACAATGTAAGAATAGTATGAATTTAGAAGAACACCAAAATACTCATAGAAACACCATGAAGAAAACTAGGATTTGTTTAGGACACCAGAATACCAAGGTGAAATTAACAAAAATACCATCTGATAAAGAAAAATGGAATACAACTAAGAAATTCCAGGACAAGATGAAGAAACTGGAAATCCAAAACATTTTTGCCTAGCTCTCCCAGCACACCATATCTGTAATAACCTAGAAAATACCAAGAAAAAGGAACAGTGAATGGTTTTGCCAACTCAGGACAGCTTAGAAGATAGACCATAGATTAGGCGTGCAGTTTTGTGGCAATGACAGCTGTGGTAGGAAGCATACCAGGGACAGAAAGGGAATTCAGAGCTCTAAGGCAAAATCCCAAGTACCCATGAACTAGTGCCAGAAGGAGAAATGGGTACTGTTTCACAGCTCCGTCAATTATTCCCCAGATCCAGGACAGAAAGGATGGTTTCAAACAAACACAGGGGCCCTAATTGATTACCAAGCACAAAACAAATTCCAGAAACATATTTGTGTGGCTCTGAGACCAGAGCAGAACAGCAACTATGGTGCTCAGATTTCATAGAACCACGGAACAAAGTAGAAATTAAAAGACTTCACCAGTTACCTCTATAATCTCCAAAATGAATGGATCAGGAATATTGTAGCTAAAATCCAGAATGCACAATTAAAGGAGAAAATACTACAAGAAGCCAGAAAGAAAGAATTGAAATACCATAGAGTCACAGTCAGGCATAAAGTGATTGTGTAATCACACAAGATTTAGCAGCCACCACTATAAAAAAACAGCACTTGGAATAATATTTCTAGAAAGCAAAGGATCTAACATTACAACCAAAAATAATCTACCCAGCAAAACTCACAAAAATCCTACAAAAGTTAAAAAAAAAGCATTAAATGAAATTCAAGCATTCAAATTCAAATGAAAAGATGAGATAAACAAAATAAAAAATAAAAAATCTTGCATCCTTATATGAGGAAATGATACATTTAACCCTTCAGAACTTTGTCATCACCAGAGATCTTAGAGGAAATCTAATAAGGGAGCTTGTGTGTGATTTTATTATGTTTGGATGACCTTA